AATGCTGTTTTTGTCCCATGTCCAGGATCCTGTGCAGAAGAATTCCCACCATCCTTTGAACAGGTTTCCTCAAACATGGGAGGTTGCAAACTGGTATATGTTCCCTAATATGGCCAGATCAATAAATGTGTTTTCATGAGAGGGTAGTTCACACTTTCTTCAAAGTGCATACCATCTCACACCCCCCCGACTCCCCCTAAGCAGCACTGATCACCACTTGTAATGGTTTGTGAGAACAATCTTGGGAGACAGGAGGCGAAGTTGCAGCCTAGGCAAAGGTTAGACAAGAGATATCTCAGCCCACAGAAGGAATGGGGGTGTGGGAAGCATCTCAGAAGGGACCCCCCCATAGTTCTCTGGAAAGTAAAGGCGATGAAGGGGAGAAGTGCTTTTAGACTTCCAAGATTGTTACTGTAACCTTACAATAAAGGTAATATTAATGTTCATGGTTTTGGTTTCCTGTCTGGACTATCTTGAAGGGCTGACACCACCTGAATCCAGAAAAGTGGAACACCTAAGGACAAACATTGATCCAGTCCACCGTTGGCAGTCATTACATTACAAGGGACCCTATCCACTTCCTCAGTCACCCAAATTTTGCCCGAAGGCCAGTGACAATAAATATTCTATTTAATTTTCATGTTAACTTTTTGAGATGACTTAGGTTATGCTGACACAGGATTCTCTCAAAGTAATATGAGAAATAGGCTTCTTTTTCTTTTTCTCCAGGTGCATCATTACATTATGAGATTCCCTTGTCAAATGACAAGGCAGATTGTGTTTTATGATCACTCCTCTAGTGAATCTAGTAGTGTGTGTAGTGTGTAGTGAAACAATCATAAAGTCATCCAAACCTGCACCTCACCTTCTGAAAGTAGTTGTATGATACCTAATAGAATGTTTTGAAAGAATTTTGGAAAAATAGCATGAATGGCAGCAAACAGCCACAAAAACAGAGGTGGTTAAAATTCCCCATTGAAGGTACCCCAGGCACCCCTTGATATCAGTATTCTTTCAGTTAATAATCATCACTGAAACCTTTAGCTCTTGTCTATTTTTAGGTTTAAAAGAAACATTCAGGGTTTTCACATGGCCTTAACCACACTCTGAATAGTTCTTTCATAACTATTTGTTAGAATGGTAATTCTTAAAATGTGAAAATGTATAAAGTTAACACTTCTTTCCCCATCAACAAGAGAAAAAAAAAAGAGTATAGTTTCAAAACCTGTGTTTTAGCATGAGGAAAATGTGGTTTTACAAACATCGTTAAAAAAACTTGGTAATTGTTCTCTGTGTTAGGAGGGATAAAATTGATATTTTGGAATTTTTTTTTAATGTAGACCAGTGGCAAAAGGAGATTAGGGCTTTGTTTATAACATGAGAAGCATGGCCTATGCAATCTCACAATGTAATCTCCTTTTCATATTTCTACCACCCTTCAATGTTTTTATCTGTATAATGCAGATTTGGATTGGGGAGGGATTAGTGATATTGAAAGCAGGCAGCATACAATAATGTAGTATTTGATTAAACAAAACATGAAATACTAATCATATAAAACTACTAATGTAATATGCTCAATAAAGTATTACTAGTAACAAATTATATGGATTAAATTGGCAGACTAATCTAAATGCCCCTTATGAAATTTAAAAAGAGAAAAATGTGTGAAAAACTATTTTGCACACAAAACTCAAATTTGGCTAGTTGTTTTTTTAAAGTCCTGTTTGTTGCCCTTCTATCAAAAAAGCACTGATTCAAATGTGGACAAAGAACTTTTGATACCTTGGTCAACGTCCAATGCTAGGAAGAGAACCAAATAAAACATGTATCCTTGGGATCCCTATGTGAAACGTATCGTAGAACAAACCCAAACCATATGAGTTAGTGTGCTAAGCCATGACTTGAATCTCCAGCCAAAGCTTAAAACAATCTAATTAACCCCATACTGCAAAATGGGGCAAAGTTGAACCAATATTTTCTAACGTTCAACTCATTTCCTGACTTCTAAATAACAAAAAATTCTCTTTAACTTAATTAAGAATGAAGTTGCCATTGCATGGGTTAAGCTTCAAGCAGGAACTGAGCAAACAAACTCATCTGGAACTCCCTAATCCACTGGCTTGGTCAGGTGCCCTCGAAACTGCTTATGCCCATCTGCCTTATTCCAGTTGTTGCACTTTGTGTCATAAATGCTCACAAGTTAGTTTCCCCTTCTTGGTCTTTGTCACGCCTCATACTAAGCCACAGTGTGGTTTGTTTGGGGCTTGGCTTGACATGTTAAGCCATTAGACCAAAGCCCAGATATTAGAGTTTGTAATACTCAGATTCTTTCTCTGGGGTGGCTTGCATTTCATACAGACCAAGGACAAACAGAATGTCTTATGGCTATGGAACTCCCTTTCCCATACTCTTCACGGAAATGGGTCCAAATGGCCCTCCAGCAAGGGTGCATACTGTTTTTCAGGCTAAGGCTACACTTGCCTTTGAAGGTACACTAGGGCCATACTTTAAAAGTAGGCAGACCCAGGAGGAAAGCTAAATTTAATTAAGTAACTATCATTAATATAGCTGTTCCCTATATATCTTTAAATGTCTCTTTCTATGACACTGAACATTCAGTTTAAATTAAATTCTGGAGTGAGCTGCATACTAAGTTTTGGAGTTCTAGATGAATCCTAAGTGCACATGAATTTTTCTGCCCTGTAATAATGAAATTTTCTCTCTTCATATGCACACATTTCAGAGAACTAGACTATTAGCATACACCTTTTATTTACATTTCATTATCCACATCAAAGCATTAGACTATTGTTTATATAAATGGAGACACAGCCACAAACCCTTCTCTCCTTCTCCTCCTGTCATCGTCTACTTTACCACCTTTCTCCCACTTCTGCATATACTCTGCAGATTGCAGGAACCCATAGGCTACAACCAACACACTGTTCTGATCATGACTGCCCAATATCCCTTGGCCCATGTTTCCCCAGAACTCCATATGATCTCTTAGCAACATGGCTGAGATCTCTGGCATTTGTGTGTGTGTGTGTGTGGGGGGGGGGAGAAATGACTTCTAAACACATTCTTCTTCTTGGACCCATAGACACTTCGCAGCTTTTCTTCCAAAATGTTTTCCTTCTTTCAACATTTTGGTGTTTTAAAGGTATTTTTTGGGATTTATTTCCAAAGATTCCTTCTGGAACACAAACAGCTATGGCTATTTTTATTAATATAAAAATTCTAAAGTTGTACGTATTTTTATTCTTTCCAGTTCTGCCTGAGGAAAGAACAAACAGATCAGAGAAGAATGTAATCTTGCTACACACTACATATCGGTCTGAATAATTGTTTAAAAAGTAGCCACCATATTTTCCCCAGTTACAGAGAGAACATGGATAACGATGAATCCAAGATGTATAAAATAAGAGCTGATGCATCACAGAGCTTTTAAAAAATGGATGAAAGCATCCCTAGAAAGAATACAGATTATAACCATTTTGAATATTGCCTTTTGCCATCACATCAATGGCAATAGAATAGATATTTAGCTTCATGAACAAAGGCTGCATCACTAACAGCAATCCACTATAAGGAGTGCTCAAATGAAAAAGAATGCAAGTTTGAAAAAGCACACCCTGAGCTGGGAAGAAAACATGCTTCTTTGAAACTGCAGCATGAATCTCATTAAAAGTAGTTTTAGCTGAAAACATGAAGAGGTTCTGTCTCCTCTTGGTTTCATTTGGAAAACTCCAGGACAGCCTCTTGTTCTTTCTCTTCCCATTATTAAAGGATTGATGTAGTTGTGCTTTTTGACACTTTGACAAAGGGGTAGAATACACTGCCAGAGAAAACCAAGTAAGCCAAATAGGTCCACTGATAAATTTTGAAAAGCAGGAGCTTGTGGCAGCCCTTAGATTTCTGCAGAGCTAAGGAGCGGACGCCAGGGGTTTCTGTATAGAAACCCATGCACAGAAGCACAATGCTTTCTGGACTTCAGCTTTCTCAGAGGAACTTT